GACGCCCATCTGTGGACAATGGGGATGATGACAGGGTATGAAAATTAAAAATATAATTAGTCCGTAACTTAGGTAATAAAAAAATATTAGACACGTATTTTTTTATTTTGTTGTGTAATAAAACAATACTTAGATAAAACGAATCAAAGTTTAGGAGTGGGGGCTAAAACGTCATTTCTTAGTATAAAATGTACTGAGAAGTGACGTCACGCGACATTTCAAATCAATATATCTTCGAAACTATTCGTTTCCGTAAGAAAATAAAAAATACGTGTCTAATGTTTTTAAATAATCTACCAGACGGACATTAAAATAAAAATTAGTCGTCTACCCTATTAGTGGACAGTGGACAATTATTTGCTGTTCTGCGTCAAACATTTGCTCAGCTCTCGTCCGTTTATAGTGTCCACATCAGCTGTGGGTAGAGAAAAATTCACTTTTATAACGACTTTTTTTTAAATCGAATCCTGTTTCAAGTGTTTAAGATTGGAATTTGTTTGGGTGGAGTTTTAATGTCTCTAATTCATTTTTGTTTTAAGAGTTTTATTTTTAAAAACGAAATTGCAATTTGGAACATATTTTCAATTTCAAAGTTCCAACTTCTTATAATTGACCGAAAATAATTTATAGCTATTGAACTACAGTAGACCCTACATGATCGTCGTTTGTCAATCGCCCCCCCCCCTCGTCTCTCCAATATCTAAATTACTGGCAGGCCCAAACTGTGGAATAATCTGTCGACGGTCGGCGGTATCTATTTCCGAATACCGAACCGAACCGATACGACCTTCAACCTGTCAAGAAAAGAGCGTATTCGTTTTTAAAAGGCCGGCAACGCACCTGTGACTCCTCTGGTGCTGCAGGTGTCCAGGGGCGGCGCTGATCGCTTACCATCAGGTCTGCTCGTTTGCCTCCTATTCCATAAAAAAAATCTAATCCCCTAAAAGCCGTTCCTGCAGGTTCGGTAGCGCACTTGTAACGTTTATGGTGTTCCGGGTGTAAATGGGCGACGCCAATTAAAAAATTATTAACATGAAAAATAAAAATGTATCCAGAACTGTGCGGTTTATTAAAGGTAATCAAAGCCTAGTACCATTTCAATCTCTAGATATAATCATTCAGCTTAAAAATCTCCATATTCTCTGATTCACTGACAAACAAGCCAAACGGAAGTCATAAAGAAAAATAAACACCCTTTGGCCTCTTAATACCGCAACACGTGTTCGTCGTAACTTGACCTAAATCAATCAGCTTCCCAAGTTACCAAGTTATAAACTAAGCGAGTGTGTAGGCAATTACCAAGCTATCACCCGCTTGATAGCCCACTAATAGACTTGGGCTACTGCAAGCTAAACTTTATTAAAAGAGGACACCCTTTGTTTACGGCTACGTGTGTGCGTGACGATAGGGAGGGATGCAATTTGTTGTCTATTTTTTTATATATAGTGTTGTGGAGTGTCTAATATATAGCATTATCGATGTTCGTAGATCGTCTAGGACTATGATAGTATAATATCCCTGTTCTCGACTTTTACCTAAATAGGTACCGTAACACATTAAACGCGTGCGCGACTCAAAGAGCCATCATACCACCACGGATGGGGCCCACTAGGGCTGATGCCAATACGGAGCCACGGAGAACTTAGCGGGTCACCAGGGCTTCGGCTCGAAATGCAGGAGTAGGAACGGGTTTGGGTTTTAGTCCGTAAGAGTCTAACACTCTCCCACCTCTCCCAGGTGGAAGAAGTCATTCGACGATATTCCCCCTAAAAAAACAACACATTAAACGCCATGGCGGTCACCAGACCAACGTTAGCAGAGGATTTGCCTTCATCAGTTTTCTATTGGCAGTCAAAGCCTTAACCACACAGAATCAACAGTCTTAAACTGTCAGACACCAAGCGGTCACCGGTGACCGCAACCTATTGTTCTATAATTGTGTCTACAAAACCGGTACTCGACGAGTTAACTAGTGTCTATATTTTTTACTGATTATCCAATAGAGATTTTGTACTGTTTCTATTTGGGGGATAATTACTACTTGCCCTTAATTTTACTATAACAAGTCTGTAGAGACTTGTGCTGCCATCTATTGATTTTATCCTGAACTAATAATTGAACATTGAGCAGCCCTAACAAGAACCACTACATGTTACTCCGATATACTATTGTATTGTACCCTTATAAGTAACTACGTGTAGGTTGTGTAGGCTATAATTTAAACTCTTTGTTGTGCAGTGCTGTCATGTCGCGAGTTCGATTCCCACACTGAACAACATTCTTTGTGTGATTCATCACAACTTTTTAATATCGGCTATAAGAAAATATACTACTTACATACTTTAACCCTTTAACCGCCGACAACGTAATATTACGGTTTTCGAAAGCTGTGTCCGAATCGCCACATACGTACAATCACGTTATTTTATTAAAAATCTTCTTATAGTGCACAAACTCCATATAAAATGTGTCAATTTCAAGATGTAGGGTATAATCTTTATTGTTATGGATATTTCTCAATGTTTTGAGTGATAAATACTGTGAAATTTGAGGTTTAATTAAATTGTGGTCACCGTCTCCATTATCTGTATCGCCAATCACGTAATTTTACGAGTACTAGGGATGGGGCGAATTCGAAAAATACTTAATAGGTTGTCTAAGAACAAACAAGGCACTATAGATATTACTGTCACTATTTGCAATGAAAGTGTATACTTTCATTAGAAAATAACCATAGTGTTACTTTGATGCAAGTATTTGTACTAATTAAAATGTATTTAAGTTTAAAATTATTTAATATTTATAACAATAATATAAAAATTTCATAACGCAGAACCGCACTAGTGCGGACAATCGCCGGTCGCCATCATCGTAATATTACGTGCGGCCAAGGAGATTATAGCGCTGTATTGTGAGTTGCCTTAGCGCCGTCACCGTAAAATCACGTTAAACATTTATCACTCAATGCAACTAGTGTTGTAAGCCCTTTTTTGGGTTTTTGTTATTTCTCAAATAAATCAACACAGTCAAAACCAAATGTGTCCATTATGCGAAGTTAGAAGATGGTGACGCAAAAGTTTTTGATCAGAGACCAAGTGATCCACGAAATGAATACTTTGCATCTTTAAAACCTTTTGAGCTGGAAACCGTACTGTCGGAAATCCGCTCAGAAGTTTACATGAAATTATTAAATTTAATACGGCATGCTCGTGGAGCATCGTCACCGTCGCCAGCAGGAGAACGAACGACGCCGTGCCCATTTCCCGAATACACATTTTCGTATACTTCGTTTGAAGATTGAAAATTTTTAGATTATTTATTAAGTAGGTAAATAAAACATTGATTTTAATTAATAAAGAATATATGCATCGATATTAAGTGTTCCCAACACTGTTCCAACTTATACCTAAAGTGACGTGGCGCTGGAGGTAAGTTGAAAGTTCAGAATCTTGGCGGTTAAAGGGTTAAAATTGGTATTTTCCTATAATCAGTTCTATGTGCAATTGTATTAAATTATGAAAGTATATCTGACTGTGTTATTTACAGATTTTATTTAATTGAGACAGCTAACAACCAACAAAAGTAAGTCCTAAGCCTTTTAACGTCTCAACTGGCACTATATGAGATACAATAGAAAAAAATTGTGTCTTGTTTAAATCTAGACTAGATACTGACAAACAACAGGTAAGAAATTGAGTAAAAATCAAATTATTGCTTTAAATTGTTTTATTTGAATTGCTTACATGAACTATAAATATAAATAAAACTAGCCACTCCCGCGTGTTTAAGCCGCTCTACTCGGCGCTTATTAATCGCAGCGTGTGTTATACAGCCTATAACCATCCTCGATAAATGCTCTATCCAACACAAAAAGAATTATTGAAATTGGACCAGTAGTTACTGAGTTTAGCGCGTTCATACAAACAAACAAACAAACTCTTCAGCTTTATATAACATTAAATTATAATATAAGAATATAAGATATAAGATTATAATACCTTACACATCCTTGTTGAACTTACAACCAATATTTTCTATATAAATATAGGTTTGACATAATTGGGTACCTACTTGCCAACTAGTCAAATTGAATACTTTTTTCGAACTGTCAAAAACGTCATTTTTCTATGAATTTTGTACGAGATTGTGTATCGTGACTGTATTGGAGACTCGGTTGCCAAAGGGAAGAAAAAAAAATATATTGTGACGTCACGTTAATTAACATCAAACAGCATACTTCTTAAAAATTTTGCTGGAAAATTAATAAAATTAAGTTGTTCATAAAATCAATTAACGAAAGTGTGATTATTTTTTTGATATTTTATTGTATTGACTCGACTGCATGGTTGGTGCGGTGGCTGGGCAACCGGCTGCCGTGCAACGTGTCGCGGGTTCGATTCCCGCACGGAACAACACTTTGTGTGATCCACAAATTGTTGTTTTGGGTCTGGGTGTCATATTGTGTATGTGAACTTGTATGTTTGTAAACGCAGCCACGACACAGGAAAAAACCCTAGTGTGGGGCAATGTTGTAAAAAAAAAAAAAAAATTGAACAGTCGAAATAATTTATTTTTGATGAAGGCAAGTACCCAATTATACACATAAACACAGCTATACATAACCAGTTTATAAAGATCTTGCTTTCTATGGTCTATGTGCACAATTGACAGTCAGATTATACTGGTTTTGCATACCTTCATGTGTAGCCGTGTATACCTGCTGGCTGAATAATTACATAGGTACCTAAAAATTACGAGTTACTCACGCAAATATAACATAACATCACTTTTTTATCCCTAATGGGATGGCAGAGGTGTACATTACGGCACTTAATGCCACTGTAACACACACTTTTCACTATTTATTTTACAAGTCCCATGAAATAGAGGGTGAGCCTATTGCCATATACCGGGCACAATTCCAGACTCTGTGCTATTACTGAATTTTTTTTTAAAACCCAGTAGTACTTTGCCTGACTGAATCGAACCCGAGACCCCTTTCCCGGCAGTCGCACTTGCGACTACTCGGCCAACGAGGCAGTCACGCAAATAAACTGATAGTAAATATTAAATAGGCTGCGCGGCATCCCAGCGACTGCGCACACTGCTCATGAGGAAGAGTCCCTCTGTGACTCGAAACTAGTAGAGCTATTGTCAGTATGATTACGTGAGTAATTCGTAATTTTTAGTTAATTCAGCATTTCTCACTATACTTATTATAAAAACATAATTAAATACCTTGTTATAGATATATATATAAGATTATTCAACAATCTTAAACAATATTCCTACCTCATGATAAGGAAATTAAATGCAAAATGTTTATTACACATTCACACCCAAAATTGCTGAACTAAATATGATAAAATTTGGTGAAAAGATAGATGGGATGTTGAAAATATTTTTGCATAGTCACAAACGCTTGAATAACTATTCTTAGTTACCTTGTTGAATAGTGGTCTCAAGTAATAATATATTAAACATAACATCACACTTTTATTTAAATTATTATACAATTTAACACCCACTTTATGATCCCTTTTGTCTATGAATTTGTCCTTAAATAAAATTCCAGAATTGTTTATAGGACATTAGTCTTTCATTTCTGCAACCATACAGTATTACTAAAACCGTAGCTTATAACAGTATAAATAAGATTGGTCTATATAACAAAACATACAATATACAATATTCTTATAACTTAACATTAATATACATGTACCATGCCATAAATAAAAGTCCAAAACAGTACATAAGTGAATAATGCTCCGAAGAAACCGTTGGTCAATAAACTCTGTCTAGAAACATAATATTTGTTCCAGTTCGGCCCTGTTTTTACCATAAACATTACCCATAGACTAACTACTGCAAACACGTAGAAGGCGAAGCCATAGAGGCCTGTGAGTCCAAGTACACCTGGAATTGAAAAGATTTTTAGGTTATTATAAGATTCATAGTTTTTTTTTTTACATAAAATGAGAATTAAACATATATTTTATTGGTCTTTATTCTTAAATATATTTGGAAAGGGTAGTCATTGACCTTAGATGTTGCTAAATAATTATTAATTAAGTAATTAATACTTTTATTCTTTCACATAGGTAGAGATTGGTGTTGTCATATTTTGAAGACTAATAAGAAGATCAATAGGTACAAATAGTTTACATGAGAGAATGTGTCTGATAATGTCTTATTTATACCAAAGATTATTTTAGTACTTATTGATAAATATTAATAGAATATTGGTACTTTTACCTCATTGGTAAACAGAATGAGGTTGTAATCAGATTCTAAATTACACTTTGAAACCCTTAGAAGTAGGTATATACTTACTCAAAATAAAGTACATGAGATAGGTATTATTACAATAGAATTACATTACCTGCAGTAGATCCTGATAATGCAGCCATGGATGTTCTGCAATATTCCACGACCACTGCATTGTTTCTCAACGCTGCGTCACTGTACGCAATGGGCTCAGACTTATTGCCATCTTTAGTCACTTTAGCTACAGACATCTTGCTATTTTAATTATACCCGTTGGATAAAACGACGAAATTTTATCAAAACTCAATAATTCATGAAATGAATCTTAATTTCCGAGTTCGACGTTTTGATTTTGACGTTTGATCTGACAATTCAATGTCGTTCATGGTGACATTGACGTTTTTTTATTGTCTTGTCATTTCACGACGATTTTCCCGGTAAAAATGACAGATAGCAGCTGATTGTTTATGGGATCGTCTTCGAAATAATTTGCCGTTCTTAAATAATGATTTGATGAGTTAAATTATATTTTAAAGCAAAAGTCATAGTATTTGCACAATAGTCAGACAAATAGTTTATTTTGACGGACAATAATAGTATAAATACCAGAATAATTTCCGTTACTATACCATAGACCTACTGAAATGACATTTCAATGCACAAATTAAAAAAAAATGTTAAAGTAGTTGTGATTCCGTACATAATTTTATTAATTTTGCTTATCAGAATTTGAAATTTAAACCTGTTTGAAAATATGAACGTGTTGTCAACATAACATTTTTCGTTCATAGATTATGTTTCATGATGTAGATTTGAAAACCACTGGAACATAATAATGATGCTTTACATTTCCTAAAGTTATATCACTAATTCATTAAAGGGGCAAACACAAATATGGTATATGTGTATCCTTTACCTATTCTGTTTTCATCTTTTGTTCTATCTGACTAATACATAAATAATGTAGATAATTTATTATTCACAGGATAAGGCTTATGGAGAGCATACAATTTTTAATTTAACATTTCTTCTAATAAAAAACACAATATCAGTAAAATTCATTGCATTACTTAACTTGGTAAAAAATAGAAGTTTATTTAAAGTACTACCTACATTCTCAGATATTCTATTGTGTGTGTTGTTTTACAGGAAATTGCTAGTTGCACTAATTTAACATTCTTTAATTTGTAAGGATCCCTAAAAACGAACTATTTTGAAAGCGTCGGTAAAGCAGTGGTGATAAGAACGAAGCCATTGAACTGTGTGAAACTCTACACTTGTGTGCGTTTTAATAATACAAAAATTCTCGTTATTACGCTCACGCACACACGCTCAAATTATTCATGTGTTTTCGCGGCACTGAGCGTCGGTATTTCTGTGGCGGAACTTATTTTCATTTGTAATTCTAAATTTAATTCGTTTTAATCAGTGTTTATAGTGTTATTCGTAAGATAATTTGTGATAACGTGTGTGAAAAACGTAGTGATGGTTACTGTGGGCTGGTTCCGTTCATTTCGATGTATAAAATTATGATGGCGCGTGTTTGACTGTGTTACTGACTGCTTTCTCGTAACAAATTAGGACTTTGCTCGAACGATATTTGAGCGCTAATAATTCTAGTTAATATTCCTGTTTCTGTGTTATTTAACCTCTCTGAATTTGATGCTGGAACAATTATATCTGGAAACATCGTTGTGCAAAAAAGGATATTAAGTTTTCGATGTACTGTGGCTCAATTATGCACCAAGGAGACCGCCAATCTGACGATTTGCCTGGTGCAAATAGCAATCACTGACGCGACTAAACTGTGTAACGACGAGGTGAGGCCATAATTTATGTTTTAATTCACAATTATTCTCATTTCTACAATCAAAACATGATATTATGTTCAAATATTGAATTAACCTATTTCAATAGAAAAACGAAACTTCATTTTGATTCTTTTGTTTCAGAAAACCAAGTGAAGTGCTTGGAGACGGGCGTAACCTGTTAATATTGGTTCACCGTCACATTTCTCATTGAATTATTCTCAAAATTATGAAATTGCAATAAAATATTCGCGTTTTCTGGCGATACTTGCGATGTTCTATTTTGTTACGTCAGACGCGAATAGAAGGTCCTAGATTCGTTGGCAGATATCAGAATGGATGAATCAGAGGATAACATGAGCTCTGAGGATCTGAAGGCTTCAGACAGCCCCATGACTGTCAAAGCAAAACCAAAGAAAAGGTCACTGATCGAACGTGAACTTGAAACCAGTTTGACTGCCAGAGTGACTTCTCCGGTGTCCACTGGTGATGGAACCAGCACCAGCCGCTATGGCAGAGCCCGCCGTCTCAAATCTGAGATTGAGCAGTCTGACACTAAGAAAGTGGCTAATGAACTAAAATCTCCATTGCCCGAGAAATCTCCAATCAAGATGCCGTCTCCAGTTTACAAGATGCATGCATCAAACTCTCCTTTAAGATCTGAACAGCAGAAAGCAGCTGGCGTGGAGACTTTTTTGGAAAATCAAATTGAAAATATTTATCAAGAGAACATATCATTGAGCCGTTTTGGCACTGAAGAAGTTAAGAAGACTAGTCCGTCACCGGCTAAAAAATTCCCTAAAGTTTATATAAGGAAAGACTTGATTCAGAAAAGGGAAGCTGATGAGAATGTCACATTTATAAAGGATATGTTCTCTCCTGCTAAAAGTGCGAGCAAGTCTTCCAGTACACATTTGAATAATATACTGGAAAGGTCCTCTGAGAGATATAATATAGCATCCAAACAACAGAATGGACTTTTGGACAACTCCTCTGTTGTTAAAACTCTAGACTTTGACAGTAAAAAGAAGAAGAAAGATAGTAATAAGGATAAGAGTCTGTCTAAAAGTGATTTGTTTGATTTGGAGGCCAAATGTGCTTACCAAGTGGGTGATCTGGCCTGGGCCAGAATGGGAACTTATCCTTTCTGGCCATCCATTATAACCAGAGATCCAGCCAATGGAATATTTGTTAAAAAGAAGTGTAAGTATTATAAACATATTAAAATGTTTCTGACATATTTAAAATCCATGTAATGAATTATGCAGGCATGCAGTTTTTATTTTATTATTTCATGTTGACTTCCTTTAACTTGAATTGATAACAGTATATTGAAAATAATAATACTCATAATACAAATTACCTACATTTTGTTCTTCATCTTTATTTTATATATTCCATTATTTCATACTATAAGGTAAAAAAATGATAATATACAAATTAAACAATTGTATATGTACATTTCCAGAAATCATATAAATTAGATAATAATATAATATAATACTTTGTAAATAATACATAACATAAATTCAATTAGATTGCTATTTTGATTCACCTACTTTAAAAATCATTTGCTAATATTTTATTGTGTCATTAGTTTCAATTTATATAGAATTATACGTTTTTTTTGGGTATTTTAAAATTCATACTTTAATTTATTTTCTTTCAGTATTTGGCCGTATAGAACGTGATGTTATTCATGTGACTTTCTTCGGAGACAACGGACGTCGAGGATGGATAGTAGACACAATGCTGCGGAAATATCATGGCCAGCTCGAGTTTGAGGCTACTCGGGAAAACTTTACTCCTGAGGTGATTTCAAATTTTGTGTATTTAATTTTCGTAAATGAATTTTCATTGAGGTTTAGTTAGTGACTGGATTACATTTTATTAAGAGGTAAAAATACTGGATACTAGATGATAATATTAAAGTTTTATTTATGGCCACATCAACAATTTAAATACAAAAATTACATTACCGCCGCAAGTTGATCCAAATATTGGCGCCAAAACTACTTTTAGAACATAGTGTACCTAGAATAACTTAACCAAACATTGTGACCAATAATATTTCTTAACAGTTCTTGCTAAACATGTTGGAGCCAATGTTTGACCTAACATGTAGTGTAGAATCAACTTTAGTTAGGTAATAAATGTAAAAGGGATATGAAACAGTTTACATTATTCTTGTTTAGCTCTTGTTACACAAGTCTAGAGCATATAACAAACACAATTGACAACCTACTGAATTATACCGTTTTTTTGAAAAGTAAACTTAATCTTCTTTTGCACACAAATAGCGCTAATGGGCTAGTGCTGGAAATCAGCGCCGCGACTCGAGCTATCGCGCTTGAGTCACGGAATTTTAGCTAAGCACTGGCCTTTTTGCGCCGTTTACATTGTCTTTTACTAATTTTCGGTGCTAATTATCGTTTTTCTTCCTTTCTTTTTTCAAATGTGAAGGTATGTGTCGATTCCTACTCTGCGTGCTAAGGGTGGGAGTTATTGCATACGTTTATCATTAGTAGTCATCATATGTTTATCAGTAGGTTGCTTATGGGACGACATGCTCCATCGTAAACCATATATCATTGCTTACCACTAGTCGGTCGGCGAGATAGTAGTCAAACGTCGGCCTATCAAATATAAAAAAGTCATATTCCTTTGAACCATGGAGGAATGGGGTGGTGTTTAAGTCAATATGACTCTGACACTCTATGGCCTCACCCGGGCGTTAGCAAGACATTGGATAATTTCCTCCACCCCCTAAAAACAGTGTTGTTTTCAATGATATGCAGTGTACACAATAATTACTAGTTATGTTATTAAGAACTCGACTCGACTCCATATATTGGTGAACAGCATCCTTGCTTGCTCAATCTTTGATAGGGCAAAAATTTGTACAAACTGATATATAATGTATAATGATATGTGAATTTTGACAGCACGAGGCTATAGTACCTCTCAACTACCAAGCCCCTTAAACAAATTAAAAAAATAGTTGTTAACAACCATATAATATTGCTATTGGTTTCAGTGGATTTCCAAATGGAGACTGCCTACTAAACTTCTCTCTCTCTCTCTCAATTTCTCAAGCTCCGCACCTCAGTTGTAGCTAAGTTTTTGATACATATCTGCATAACTCCATAAGGTTATCATCTATTATTATAACCTAGGTAACTGTAACAAATGGATACATTGATGTAACCTTGATGCTGATAAATAATGTAAAATGAATTTAAATATTTTCTTTTTAATATCTTGTACTGTGCAATGCGATTTGTAATTTCATAAAGTAATAATTATAATAGGTAAATTAAATGGTGATTTATATAAATGATAATTATATAAAAGTACTTAAAACAACCATATTAATTATTTTAGAATTGCCACATGCTTTTACTTCCTTTTCCTGAGCTCTATCTTTTAAACCATTACGTCGTTTTTACTCCGCTATAAAAGTCAATTGCTAATCCAGATAAATATTTCTCTTTTCTAGGACAAGAAAAAAGACCCGAGACTGTACGCAGCATTCTTTGTATCGGAAAAGAAACAAGCTCTGTGGAACACTTCAGTGGAAGAAGCTGAAATGCTGCTGAGGGAGCCAAAGAGGTTGAGAATAGACATTTTCAATGACATGCTAGAAAAGTCCAGGTCCAGAGCAAAGCAGCAAAAGAGTGGTAAAATTAGTAGAACAGACAGTGACGTGTCTTTAAGCGAGAGTTTATACGATAGCTTGTTCTCTGAAGACGATGGTAAGACAGACAGTACAGAACGTTCCAGAAATAGGACAAGGAACAAGTCCTTAGACGTTTTCGAAGTCGTCACAGCCTGCCTCGACAATATGGCCGCCAAAACTGGCATCACCAAGATCCAAAGACAGTCCCACATGGATAGGTGGCTTCAGAAAGCCAAATCCAAAACCCCAGAGAAAACTCAAGCTAAATCTCAAGTTCCTCAAATTAAATTAGATGATAAGAAAGAAACTAAAGTAATTAGTTCTAAAAAAAAGAAGAGTCTGTCTCGAGTCGCTGTTAAAAAGCCTTATAGTTTAAGAAAATCTATGGCCGAATCTCAGAATCTGTTGTCTTTTCAAAATGAACATGATTATAGTAAAGTTGAGATAGTTACAGATTCCGATCATAATTCTACCGACACTGATAGCTGTAAGAACTTTGCTGCACAAAAGCTGACTGAGAAAGGTAAAGTAGATGACCCTATTATTGTAGAAAGTCAGAGTAGTGAACATGAGACCGAAACCGAAACAGAATCAAGCCAAACTGGTACAGAAGTAAGCCGAAGTGGTATTGAAGTAAGCCAAAGTGGCACTGAAGTAAGCCAAAGTGATACTGAAGTAATCCAAATTGGTATTGATCTGAGCCAAAGTGGCACTGAAATAAGCCGAAGTGGCACTGAAATAAGCCGAAGTGGCACTGAAATAAGCCGAAGTGGCACTGAAATAAGCCGAAGTGGCACTGAAGTAAGCCAAAGTGATACTGATGAAGTCAATGCTATAGAAATAACAACTGGATTAAATGGAAAATATGATTCTGACTTAGAAACTATTAATGAAGATTCCCAGGGTCACGCCAGTATCATAAGTACGGCTATATCCTTAAAAATTGCAACAGAGGATGAAACGGCATCAAGAGATGCTGAAATACATATAAAATCAGTTTTCGATACTGATGATACCACACAAGACACTGATGATACCACACAAGACACTGTTATTGGTACAGATCAAATAATGAGTCCAGTGTACGAAGATTCATTTGATGAAATCAGTCAAATTACACATAGTCCAATTGATGAGAGTGTTAATTCAAATGCAGAAAAGAAACCAGAGTCTGTTGAAACAGAATCGCAAGATGAAATAACAAACGATACAATAAGTACTGAAATAAGTAGCGTGTCTATTGATGACAGTGATTATAAACCACAAAATAGTATTGCATCAGAAGATGAAAGTATGAACACTACTCTTCTTACTGACGATAGTATAGAGGTCGATCTAGGTAAGGAACCCACTAAATCTAAAACTAGTGCAGATTTAGTAAAGGTTCAAGATGTACACTCAATTAGGAGTGACAGTGACACAAAAGAATATAATAAAATTACTACCATTAATAAATTACATAACTCCAAAAACAGAGGTAAAGAAGATTTTAGTCTTAATAGTAAATCTAATGATGCAATATCAATCGAATCTAATGATAGACTGACAAGTGTGAATATAATTGAAATGGTCAAAGAAACTAGACCAATGAATGGACATGTTAATATCAAAGAAATTGATATGGATGTTGATGAAGTTCAAATACCTAGTCCTAAGTCGCAAATCGTGGAGAATGGCTTCCATGATGAAGGCACACATATGAATGGCGATGTTGATTCAGATGTCATTTCCATCCATTCGGAAGATAGCGTTTCTTCCACGAAATCGGATAGTAGAAGAAGATTACGTTCAAGGCAAAATAAAAATCAGTTAAACCATAGTCCTTTAGAAAACCCTGAATTCGTTAAATATTTTGAACTAAGACAAGATGCGATCATGGATGAGAATCCGGAGTTGAGTCAAGATGAAATAGTAGCTTATTTATATAAAACTTGGTTGTACGAAGAAAATTCTAAATCAGATGATAAGAAAACCGAAGACTTAAGAGAATTAAATCTCGTTAAAGGTCTTAATTCAGAACTTACAGAGAACAAGAAAGCCAAAGAAGTTGACCAACCGAAAAAAAGAAATTCACATAGGAAAAATTTGAGTCTAAACAGAAATATCATGCAAAGATTTTTGCAAAAAAAAACTAGAGAGCCACCGGTAGTATATTCAATAACTGATAGTGATACTGAAAGTGTTAAAGAAGATTCACAATCGGAGGAAGAATCGCCTAGATATAGTCCTATATTAAGTAAAGCAGAGAGTGAAATGCAATCTACTCAAATGGAAATTGAAGAAACAATAGTTAAAGACAGTGCACAAGATGAAACTAATAGATTTAAACCAATAGCGCTAGATAATCCACAACCAGGTAAGATAGTAAATGAGACCACAAATACTGATAAAAGTGCATCTCCTATTACAGTTATTGAAGTTCAAAATAAACAAATCGATGAAACAGAGATTGCCTTAGGCTCACGTACTGCCACTCCAATAGACGTTCAAAGTAAAAAAGACGTAACTGAAAATGTGGTAGGTAATGGGCCAGAAGTACTTCCAAGAGCTGATGACGTCACTAAAGAAAAACAACCAATAGATCCGTCAAACGCAGTACAAGTGGCTTTCCCTGAAGAGTCCGATGATAAGTTTAGAAGTGATTGTGATACAGAATCTGTTAACTCTTTAGACAGTGAAACACCTCTTATAAAATGTAAACTACGCTCCAAAAGCAAAAGAAATAATTCACAAGAAATCAAACCAAGAGATGATGAAGACACTATTTCTCTTAACTCAGAAGGAAGCGAAGTGTCCATTAAACGTAAGAAGAAAACCCAAAAAAGAATAGAAAATGCGTTAGAAGACCCAGAATTCGTTAAGTATTTAGAACTAAGGCAAGATTCCTTGATAGACGAACACCCAGAATTAACCCAAGACGAGATCGTATCTTATTTATACCAAACCTGGATATACGAAGAGAATACAAAGTCTGAAATTAAGAAGAACGATGATATAGAACAATCTAGTTTAGTTAAGGGCCTAAAAGAAACTGTACCACAACAGCCCAAGAAAATAAAGCGTAAAGTAAAAACTGAGAAAGAACAAGAAAAAGACACTGATGATGATGCTACAGTAAAAGATAAACCTAGAAGGAAAGTAGTGAAACCTTATTATAATGAAGAATTTTCTGATGTAGAAGAAGAACTTGAAGTCTTTCCAATATTTAATCCGAACCAGCAACGGCTCAATGAGAACGGCGAAACAACTGAACCGATACACGAAGTTAATGATATTGATGAAGTAGAACTTTACTTCGAACAACTAGCACGACCTAAACCTAACGTCTTCAAAGGACTGATCAGGGAGAAGGTTTGCGAACTATGTGAGATGATTGGAAACCTTGTCAAGTGCAAAGGCTGTAATGGAATGTTCCACGTAGAATGCGTTAATAAAGAAGATGTAGAAGTCGAAACTCCAGCCCCGACTAGAGGGAGAAAGAAGAAGAAAAAGCTGGGAAGGAAACCCAAAAATTCCGATGAATTTGACAGCCAAGATGACAACACTCAAAATGTTTCCGAAGAAAACGCGTCTATAGAAGAAATTATCGAATCAGATTCTCACACAGTCGACGCAGAAACTTTAGAAGCACAAATCGAAGCTAAAATGAAGGAGCTATTGGAAAACGAAAAGATCGATTACGATTCTTATTCGAGTGACGATGGCTGCGATTGGAGCGAGACAATACCAGGGAAATGCGAGATAATCGATATAAAATTAAAACCGAGACGTTCAAATGAAGTCGATTATTCGAATTTCAAATGTAAAAACTGTCAAAAGTATGATGTGCCAGTGTGTTTTGTATGTAAGTCTGCGGTGTCGAAGAACGAGGAGACGTTGAGGCAGAAGTGCCACGTGGCACATTGTCATAAGTACTATCATTTGAAGTGTTTGGACCATTGGCCTCAAGCGCAGTTTAATGGGGGCGAGCCTTCGAAGACTAATAAGAAAATTAATGAATATTTTGAGGCTTTAACATGTCCTAGGCATGTCTGCCATACTTGTGTGTCTGATGACCCTCGCGGTTGTAAGACACGGTTTAGTGGCGACAAGTTAGCGCGGTGCGTTCGATGCCCAGCTACGTACCACTCGTTTACAAGATGTCTACCCGCTGGGACGCAGATTTTGACGGCGTCTCATATTATCTGTCCGCGGCATTATGAGCATAGGTAAGTGTATTTTTTTCTGATAAAGTGCATGCCAAAATGTCCTATAGTGTTACCTACCAAAAGTTATGTTTTACCGTTTCGTGTTTGTGCAATTGTCAACCCTATCTCGAAAACAATAAGGTGTAAAATTCAATGAATTAAAAAAATAACCACTTGTAATGCTTTTATTCAGTTTTCCGTTCTATAAAATTATCGTAAGATGTAATACTAGCACACTTACAGTTTTGTCTTTATTCTATTTTGAACTCTAGCTTATAAACAATAAGGTATAAAATTCATTACGTTTGACAGGCCTGGAAAGGTGCCGTGCCACGTGAATACAGGATGGTGTTTTATTTGCGCACTGGGTGGTTCACTTATCTGCTGCGAATACTGTCCGACCTCCTTCCACGCCGAGTGCCTTAATATTAAGCCGCCTGAAGGTAAGATATGACATTTTTTTAAATTAAATAATTATTAATGTTTATTTCACTAACAATTATCATCAGTTTTTAAACCAATTCAATTCTCCACTTACTCCAATATAGACCTTAATTCTGATGCTTAGAGAGTATTTTTGTAATGATACCACGGCCTCACAGACAATCGACGTGACACTACGCTTGCGTTGTTTCACGTCGTGTGAGGGAGGTTCTCCCACACTCAAATGTATAAGTACGGAAAAGTTATGCGATTTTTAAGAATTTTATTTATTTCGTTCACATAATTTTAAGTATACAACTTGTATTGGAGACTCGGTTGCCAAAGAAGAATAAAAAAAAGAATACAACTACTTAATCAATCAGTCGGTTGAAAAATGACGTACCTAACGAAATTTTAGGTTATGAACTAGTTTAATAACCTAAAATTTATTAACCGATTGAGAAAATAACGGACTGTTAGTCTTACATTGTTTTTTCGTTAACTTTTTCATAGACACACGCCAACACATGATTACATTACGTCATACGCAGTGTTTCAAGCGGGAATCGAAGCCTTGACCTTGTAGAGACGGGACGCTCAATGTCATTCATTCATACATACATACATACAAACATACAATTGTATTCAAATAGAATTGATTGTTGAATGGCAAATGGAATTGGATTATTTTGTTCAAAGAATATATTTTGTATGGGTTTTGTATGATTTATGATGTCATGAAAAGTATTGTTTTTTGCGGGATTAATCTTCAAGTACTGACGTGGTTTACTCATACCATAAACGGTGACGTGACGTATGTCAAACACCTTAATAAATAATCGAAATGGATTACTTTTATTTACTGATTTTCACAATATTTACTTGTATTATGATCGGTCCATTATAATTATATTACGGAAGTGCAAAAAAACAATATTTTCGAATGAAATCAGCGGTTTTTGATTTAAATTCTATAAACATAAAATATAAATATTTCGCATAACTTTTAATTGAAAACTTACATACTTAAGGAAGGTTTATATGTATAATACATGCATATTGCATAAAAAGTGTGTCTTACGCTGAAATACTCAAACGCCAGTTAGTTTTAAGGTCCCGATTAAGTTATAGTTCTGTCTATATAAATTCTTTGTAAAATGACAGAGATGGGACGATATTTAAGTAAAACTTAAATTTGAGTAACCTTTCAGTATGCAGGCGTTAATTGTTCATTACCGTATTGTTTCTGATACGATTTTTGCCAAATGGATTGATTGATTGATTGATAAATGACAGATATGATTTATTCGTATTTTGTCAAATTTTGAAGTGAAAAGAGTATTAGGTAGTTATAAGCTAAATTGGTCCATCAGTTTTACATTTTCATTGGTACATAAGTTTACGCCTGTCTCCCATAGGGTTAGGCAGAGACTAGGGAACGCCAATTATTACGATTCCTACATACCTCTTCGCTTCATCAACAGTCATCAATCTTTTCATGCACGGTCGTCGGTTAAGGGTACTTTTAATTTGGCCCTTCGGTAATATATCGCCAATCTGGGTGCTTACTCTTGAAACCAATCTCAATGTCAATGCAATTTCAATCCAATAAAATCTCAATAGTTATCCAATTTCAAAACTATACAACCCCTATCGTTACTGCTAAAGTAGCATTTAGAGTACGGAATATAAAACCAAACTTAATACCATTTAGTTAATGAAATATCCACGCAATACGGATGCAAAAGACGCTAGTGTGACAACTCAAGAGTACGAAATTTCACAATGTCAATATCGATCGATCGGAATTGGATTCAAGAGTAAGCACCCAAGTCACTATATGTCCGTCTAGGACGCCCTCTACCGACGGCCCCATTCATATCCGCTCTGTATACTTCTTTCGTTACGCTCATCCATCCTTTCTACCTCTACATGTCCAAACCAGCGTAGCATTCCCTTTTCAATCCTTGTCACTACATCATCTTTCAATCCACACTTTTCTCTAAAACACTATTTTTCACTATTTGTTACGTTTAGTGTTGCTATGAAACATTCCAATAAGATTTAATTTTTTAAACAAATCTTAATTATTTGTTTCAGGCGGTTACATGTGTGAGGACTGTGAAACTGGACGGTTGCCGCTGTACGGGGAAATGGTGTGGGTCAAACTAGGGCATTATAGGTGAGTTTTATTATTTACTAGTTGTTCTCTGCGAATTCGTCCTCGTAGAATAATGACTTCTGATAGAACTTGGGTTGTCTAATAAAAGCGTACGCAATATGAGTATCTTTTTGGTAGATTTTTCACACATCGGGATACATTATGGAAATTTTTACACTGTTCAGTCTTTTTTTTTTCTTTTCATATATAGCCTATGGTCATTACAGATAATGTAGGATTCTAATGGTAAATTTTTTTACGACGGTCTAGTAGTTTCGGAGCCAATTCAATTCAAACAGTAAAAAATGTTTCCTCTTTATAATATTAGTGTAGATGTAGACTAGTTACCCCCACGCATTCTCATCTACTCTGCCTTCCTATTGATCATTGTCTGATATTTTATAGTCTATAGCCTTCTTTGATAAATTGACTGTACAACACAAATAATTATTCAAATCGGACTGGTTGTTACGATTATTAGCGCGTTTAAACAAACTCTCCAGCCTTATATAAGTACAATCTCCGACCACCGTAAGTGCGGGCCTGCGGATGGCGAGCAAGGGAAACTCGCCGCCCGACCTAAACCAGCCCCCGTGCGTACGGCGCGTCGCAATCTGCGCGCGCCTCAAAGAACCATCAGACCACTACAGATGGGGCCCAGTAGTAGGTCGCTCATGCCCGATACGGAGCCGCGGAAGGCCGAACGGGTAGCCGGGTCTCCGGCTCGAAGTACAGGAGTAGAAAAGGGGTGGTGTTTAGTCAGTAAGAGTCTGACACACCCTCTCGCGTAACCCAAGGCGGAACTCATTGGATGATTTTCCCTCCTCAAAAAAAATAGTACAGATCAAAGCCTAATGGTAATATTAACATAACGCTGGTTACCTTCTTAATACTAAAATTGCATTTTACAGATGGTGGCCCGGTATAGTTCTACATCCATCGGAGATACCTGAAAATATAATGGCAGTGAAACACAATCTCGGAGAGTTCGTTGTTCGATTCTTCGGTCAGTACGACCACTACTGGGTTAATAGAGGACGAGTGTTTCCTTTCCAAGAAGGTAAGGTTTAGTTATTATTTATAAAATATTAAATTAAGACAAAACTTTTTATACTGCCCCATTGGATGAATGGTCGCATGTGCGACTGCCGGGCAAGGGGTCTCGGGTTCGATTCCCGGCTCGGGCAAAATATTACTTGGTTTATTAAAAAAATCTCAGTAGTAGAGCCGAGTCTGGAATTGCGCCCGTTATATAGCAATAGGCTCACCCCCTATTACATGGGACTCATAATATAAATAGTGCAAAGCACCTCTGCCTACCCCTGCGGGGATTAAAGGCGTGATATTATGTAAACTTTTTATAGTCACATAATATTTTGAGATTTTCATCCAATAATACAATCCGGTTGCCTGGGCAACTGGCTGCCGCGCAACGTGTCGCGGGTTCGATTCTAGCAACTCTTTGTGTGATCCACAAATTGTTGTTCCGGGATTGGGTGTCATGTGTATGTGAACTTGTATGTTTGTTGTATTTTATTATCTGATTTTTTTACAGGTGATTCCGGACGAATATCAAGTCAGAAGTCCAAAATCGATGCTGCGTTCACCACTGCAATGGAGCATGCGCAGAGAGCCTGCGAAATATTGAAAGGTGAGTTCGAAACATACCTACATATTTTTGCTTACTACACATCAAGATAATATTCCTCTAAGGTCTGTTGTCCGTCGCGGAGAACCTAACGGGTAACCGGGGCTCCGGCTCGACGTGCAGGAGAAGGAACGGGGTGGTTTTTAGTCAGTAAGAGTCTGACACTCCCTCCCGCCTCACCCAGGCGGGAGCAGTCATTCGATGATTTTCCCCCCTTAAACAAAAGCCTGTTGTCCACGACGCGTCATCTGAGACCTTAGTACGAGTTCTACGTTTAAAGTAATGGTAACGAGTACGCGTTCGGCGTTGTGATTGGCCGGCTATAATAAATCAACCAATCAGAGCGCCGGACGAGGTTTCGTTTCGATATCGTGAATATATTGAGAAAAGCTCTACTAGTTTAGAACCACAGGCGGCGATGTCGCGCAGCTCCCACACAACGTCGTATTTAAGTACAATTTAAAATTGAGTAGCGTTTCAGTATTCGAGCGTAGATGTACCTAAAGTATCTTATTATATCTTCCAGCGGCCCAACCAAACGAGGAGGAATCTCTAGACATAGCATCGTCCCTGCTCCCCCCGCACTACGTGAAGCTTAAGGTGAACAAGCCGTGTGGCTCCCTCTGTGGGAGGAAACTAGACGACCCGGAGAGTTCACTCACTCAGTGCGAGTGTAACCCTAATGATGAAGACCCTTGTGGACCTTATTCACAGTGTTTGAATCGGTATGTGATAGATTCCGTAATTGTACATTTCTTTCTTTGATATATCCATTCTAATATTATGTACTAGGTTTCGCTTATTCTGCTCTGCTTCTATTGATCGTAGCGTGATGTTTTATAGCTGTCCTAGACAAATGCACTATGCAACATAAAATGAATCATTCAAATCGTACCAGCAGTTCCGGAGAATAGTGTGTTCAAATAAACAAACAAATTCTTCAGCTTTTTATTATAGTAACATAACATTACGCCTTTTTATCCCCGAAGAGGTAGGCCGAGGTGCACATTACGGCGCTTAATGCCACTGTACAATGTAACACCCACTTTTCACTATTTATGTTAAGAGTCCCATGTAATAGGGGGTGGGCCTATTGCCATATACTGGGCATAATTCTAGACTCCATGCTATTACTGAGATTTTTATTAAAATCCCCAAAATACTTTGCCCGACCCGGGAATCGGACCTGGGACCTGTGTGTGTATATCTCTGGGGTAAAAGTATTATTTATGTATAGTTTGCACAAAAAGTAAAAGGTGGGTGCTACTTATGTTACTACTTACGTTCCTACAATGTTATGCAAAATTTTACCATACTTGATATCTCTATTTACAGAATGTTACTAACGGAATGCGGGCCCACATGCAAGGCAGGCGATAGATGCAACAACCGCGCCTTCGAGAAGAGACTGTACCCTAAACTAGTGCCTTATAGGACCCCCAGTAGAGGATGGGGGCTCAAAACATTAGAGGATATTAAAGCAGGTAGGTGATAAACGTGTTTTTTACGTAACGCCTTTTTTAGTACGTTGATATATTGTACTGAAAATTTGTTCATACAAAAGTAGTCTCTAAATATCTATAATATCTAGAATATCTATAATGGAGTCAGTGGAAAGCGATCGCCGGTGGCCACTTGAGGATTGAACAGTTAAAAGCGTAAAGAATGGAGTTTCTTGCTGGTTCTTCTCCATTCGAATTTACATTTTGGAATGAACACCTAGCTTCATTGATGGATAGACTGACAGACTATTATTTATTTTATATTTGTTGACGTTTCAGAAGTATCAAACTATGGTTTAATTGAAATAAATGTTTCTACTTTGACTTTGATATTATTTCTATGCAATTTTTAACCGACTTTTCGTTAACGTAGTTTATACAGTTATTTAAGTGATATGTGGCCACACGCGGGCCTGCGGACGGCGAGCTCGCCGCCCGACCAGCTCCACACCCGAGCGGGCGCCGAGCGAGACAGACAGCCATCAGACCACCACACACGATACACAGCGGAGAACTTAACGGGTTACCGGGGCACCGGCTCAAAGCTGACACTCCTACTCGCCTCACCCGGGCAGAAGTCATTTGATGACTATACCCCCTTAAAAAAAAACAAGGGTTTTCTCCTGTGTCGTGGGTGCGTTTACAAACGTGCACTCATACATTTTCACAAACTTTCGCATTTGTAATATTGTAGGATAGGACAATTATCTATTACTCAATTTACTAACAAAACGTTCCCAATACAGGACAGTTCGTGATAGAATACGTTGGCGAATTAATAGATGAAGAGGAATTCCGTCGTCGCATGCGCAGAAAGCACGAGATCAGAGACGAAAACTTTTACTTTTTAACGTTGGACAAAGAAAGAATGATCGATGCCGGACCTAAAGGGAATCTTGCTAGGTATGTATATTTATTAAAACAATTTGGAATTACATATATATTTAGAAATTATAAGTCCAAGTTCAGGGCTCGTACACAAAACTGCGATGCGATGCGATTTCGTGCAATAAGACGTCACCCAGGGTAACCATTCCTTAGACGACCGTCAACCGTACTATGTATTTTAAATTGAAAACTAGGTCGTGACATGGATCGTAAAAAGAAGAAGAGGTGTGCACTTTGTTATTGCTTAAGAGATACAGGACAAAGAAACAAAGAAGATTTTGGGAAGATAAGTTTTGACGCGCGATGAGAATCAATTCGCAAGTTCTTGCGATGCGTAGAGGGAGCTCGCGCATTTTTGCGACGCGACGTAGCATCGCAGTTTTTTGTACGAGCCCTTACTCACGATGTTTTCTTTTATCGTTTGTCAGTGGTGTCTAAATAATCTTAGAAAGTACATATAACTCGGAAAAGACACATTGGTACTTGCCGTTGGTAGGTTTCGAACGCGCTCCCATGAGAAGCAGGTGTCTTAACCTCCGGGTCATCGCAACTGAATACTTTGCGCAGCAGTAGACACATAATAGCTTTTGTTAATAATGTTTGTTGCTTATAGTTTCTACCTACCCCTAAGGGAGACAGGCGTGAGGTTATATGTATGTATGAATGAATGTTTGTTTCATAACATTATGTGTCTCAATTCGCAGGTTTATGAACCATTGCTGCGAGCCAAACTGTGAAACACAGAAGTGGACGGTGCTCGGCGATGTACGAGTTGGATTGTTCGCTCTCTACGATATACCAGCTGTAAGTAAATGTGAATTTTCTACTACGTTTCGCCAGCGGGTACGCTCGTGTGATGTTATGTTTAAAAACGAAATGTAGTACAAAACAAAAGTTATTTGTTTTCAATACACGTTTGTATCGACATCAGTAGATCATCTACAATCCGTAAATTTTTGTCATTGGATTTTCGACTTTACCCATCAAGCAATAAAGTTGAAATTCGGATAACGGAATTCATAGAAAGATTTACCTTCACCGGTTTTTTGATTCTGAGGTGAATGTTAATACAATATTAAAATTTTACAGAACAGCGAAGTGACATTCAACTACAACTTGGAGTGCGCCGGCATTGAGAAGAAGCGATGTATGTGTGGAGCTAAACGGTGCTCCGGATACATCGGGGCTAAGCCTAAGCAGGTATGATAATATCATTTCTTTAGTGGCTAGTATTTGCTGTCTTTAAGGCCCGAGTGAATAGGTTGCTTATGGGACGACGTGCTCCATCGTAGACCGCATCATCGCTTAACATCGGGCATCGCCTGGTAGTGGTCTAACGTTGACATATTTAAAGAATTTCTTCCCGCGTTCTTTATTGGCTACTAGCTTCTGTCCGCGACTTTGTACGCGCAATCTCGTCTTCTCCCGTTCCCGTAGGATTTTCAGGATTATTTCTGTCTTAAGAACCATCTCCGAATAATAACAAATACAACAAAAAAAGAATTGGGTACTTGCCTTAATCTAAAATAAATTATTTCCACTGTTCAATACAATAAAATATTAAAAAATAATCACACATTTATTAATTGATTATATGACCAACTCGTCGAGCACCGTATTTATAGACACAATTAAAGAACAATAGGTTGTGGTCACCGGTGACCGCTTGGTGTTTGACAGTTTAATTTTAGTATTTTTTCAACAATGTTTTGAAAAATAACAGCTGTTTGACGCTAAAAAACCGTGACGTCACGTGTGTTGACACAATCTCGTACAAATTTCATAGAAAACTCTCGTTTTTGATAGTTCGAAAAAAGTATTGAATTTGACTTGTTAGCAAGTACCCAATTAGTGAAATCGGTCCAGCAATTCACGCGTGATGCCGTGACCAATGGAAAAAGGGATGCATTTTGTATATAGGTATATATAGACTGGCTACTCCCAAGCGTTTCACTTCCTGCCCAGCTTATATTGATCGCAGCGTGGTGTTTTATAGCTTATACCCTTCCTCGATTAATTTACTATTTAACACATAAAAAAAAACCAATTCAAACCAGTAGTTCTGGAGATTAGGGCGTTCAAATAACATAGATGTACCAGTACAAAGTTCCCTCCACTGAAACAGCCAAGTTTGCCTATCCCGACTGTTTCAATAGAAATTCCCATTTGTATCTAGTCTTTGCTGCTATGAAAAATATTGTCGTATTTCGTGATTTTTATTTAAAGTCAAAGCATTTATTTCAATTAAACCATACTTTTGAAACGTCAACAAATACAAAATAAATAATAGTCTGTCAGTCAGTCCGTCAGTGAAATTAGGTGAAGCTAGGTGCTCATTCCAAAATGTAGATTCGAATGGAGAAGAACGAGCAAGAAACTCCATTCGTTACTCTTTTTTTTTACACAGGCTACACTGTACACACCTTACGATGTAACTGAGCAGTTTTAACTGTGTAGCCTGCATTAGAGTTGCATTCTGAATATAGAATTGAAATTCAATTACGTATTTTTTACTCTGAATGTTATGTTACAATCTGAATGTAGATCATAATCTGATTGCGTGATAATAATTACAAGGTATACCAAGGTGTAATGAAGATTATGAGATAAATTATATTATTGCACAAAGAACTATAATCACTATCGGCCTACCAATTAAAATAAATCACTTTAATTTTATTCCTCAATTACAGGACGAATCTCAATCAAAGAAACCAAAAATACCCGGCAAAAGAACATATAAGAAAAGAAAACCGACTGAAGAGTCGCCCTCTACAAAGAACAAGCCAAAACGACCAATAGGACGCCCGCCGAAACCGAGAGAGCTAACAGAAATTGAGAAAGACCTTCTCATCATAAGGAATGCGACCAATGGAATCTCCAGCGATGAATCCACCAGAAGCGCTAGCTCCGAGTATGAGAGACATCCTAAAGCCTTAAAAAGGAAACGAGTAAGTTTCTCAACGGAAGAAATTATTCTATACGACGGCTCAGAGTCCCCTAGTGTCAAAAAACATAAACTTGAAGACAGACTAGACGTCGGCGATTGAGACAATTGACTGTTTTTAATCTGTGCGAAAGAGTGCTAACTTTTTTGTAGTGTTCTTTTTTCAACTGATTATTTATCTGTATGTGCTAGAGAGAGATGGCTAAATTATATATAGCTGTCTTTGTTACTCGTTTGCATATTGTTTTAAATGCAGTTTGATTTTATAAATGTAACGATCTGCATGATTTATTTAACGGAGTATGATTATTGTTAGTTTGTATGTATTGTGTTGGTGTGTGTCGGTTTGGTTAGTATTCTATATAGTTATTCAAATTTTGGTAAATAATATGTACAAGGGTCTTATGAATTTATATTTCTGTAATCTTCTTTGAAATTATTTACTTTCTAATGTCTCAATCTTAGTTAAAAAATTACTTATTCCTATATTTTATATACTTCTGCTTTTTTTGCTGCCTCGTTGGCCGGTTGTAAGTGGACAAGGGGTCTCGAGTTCGATTCCCGGGTCGGGCAAAGTATTACTGGATTTTTTTTTTTTAAAAAATCTCAGTAGTAGCACGGAGTCTGGATTTGTGCCCGGTATATGGCAATAGGCTCACTCACTATTACATGGGACTCATAACATAAATTGTGAAAAGTGGGTGTTACATTGTACAGTGGCATTAAGTGCCGTAATGTGCCCCTTTGGCTACCCCTTCGAGGATAAAAGGTGTGATGTTATGTTATGTTATGTTAGTAACAATTATCCAGTACATATTTATTTGTTTATTTATATAATATTTTAATAGTTTCTTGCCTTTTTCTGATTGTATTCATTCAATCTGGATCTGTCTTACCCTTAGGTCGTTTTATAGGACACAATATTTTAATACTAACTCCAACTGATGATGTAACCTACTTAAAATAACTCTTGTATATTTTTATAGCGTTTTATAAATAGCATAAACAGTTGATAATACAAATGATAGGAACGGGAGTCAAATGCGGCTTTGGTGGTTAGGTATAGCAGTTTGAGTCCCATTCGTGTAATTTGTTTTTAAAAGTGAAAAAAGCTAACCATACCAACACAAATCAAAGATAAAAATATTCTATCAAAGATTGTGTTATTTGTATATACTCTAGAATAGACTTAGAATAAAAAAATATCAGGAAACGAATGTAGTCTGATGCGATTAACGCCTTTATTGTATAGGTAGTAAAGTTCATAATACTGTAACAATGTTCGTTGCCTTACGACCAATTTGTTGTTATATGCCAAATTTGTTAATTTTAAAGGCTAGTAATATGTTTGTGAAGATACTGTGATGCGAAATTGTAACGATTTCTTAGCTTGTCTATTGTAATTTGAAAGTTAAAATTATATTTGTTACACAATTGATGGAACGGATAGGGTTTTATCAAGACGGAATTAATAATTAAGTTAAATAAAATATTAAAATTTATGTTTTTGTTTTCATTTTCTGCCTCGTTGGCCGAGTGCCGGATAAGGGGTCTCGGGTTCGATTCCCGAGTCGGGCAAAGTATTACTGGGTTTAAAGAAAATCTCAATAGTAGTACGGAGCCTGGAATTATGCCCGGTATATGGCAATAGGCTCACCCCCTATTACATGGGACTCATAACATACATAGTGAAAAGTGGGTTTTACTTTGTACAGTGGTATAATGTGCATCTCTGCCTACCCCTTCGGGGATAAAAGGCGTGATGTTATATTATGTTTTCATTTTCCATTTGGGCTATCTCTCACTGACTGCACCGTTGCGGTATGGCATGGCAAAGGATTTTTCACTGATCAAACTTTATTTTATTTCGTTTTATTCGACTAGTTGCCGCAGTACGGTGCATCTCGTGAGACGTATGTGTCGAGGAATAGGTTAGTTTTCTAAATTTTATTTTAATCCGTCTGGTACATTAATTTAAAACTTTAGACACGTATTTTTTATTTTCTCACAAAATTATATACTTTCTACGATATATTAATTTGAAATATCATGTGACGTCACAGCGTGCCACATTTTGTAGCACGTTATGACGAAACAACCTCCCACTCCTAAACTTAACGCCATTTTATCTAAGTACCTATTGCAATTCCATACGAGAAAATAAAAAAAATACGTGTCTAATATTTTTTCATTATCTAACTGATGGACTAATTCGATTTTTAATTTTGATACCTTGGAAAGTACCCAATTATAATCGCGAAGCATGGCGCCAATAGTCTTTGTTTCATTCTCAAGTCTAGAAAGAATTACGGAGATTTTTCGAAATACCCTTCAGAAGTTAAGACACTCCCGGTAAGACGGCGTGAAATATATTCTAGTCTGCCGTTACGTTACGTACATTACGTTACTATACGGTCAAAGGCGATCCCATGCCTCGAATATTACACAGGTAATTTTACAAATATATAAAAATGAATTCCCATCCGTTAGTATCGCTAAAACGCGAAAACGGCTGGACCAATTTGGCTAATATTGGTCTTGAATTATCTGTAGAAGTTCTGGGGAGCTTAAACAAAGGTGTATTAGAGGCTGAGGAGAGAAGAGTGCTGGCAGAGCTAGTTACAATTTTTTGTCACCTGATGGTAAGCAATCGGCTTCGCCAATGGACACCTGGTACACCAGGTGTTTTTCACCACCTTTTGAGGGTTAGGAATATGAGGGTTGGGAATTCAGGGATTGCGTAAATGGGCGGGGTGTAGTTGGGCCTCCGGTAATCCTCACTCGATGAAATACAACAAGCGTTGTTTCACGTCAGTTTTCTGCTCGGCCGTGGTATCACTCCGGTCGAGCCGGCCCATTCGTGCCGAAGCATGGCTCTCCCACACTTCTAAATAAAATCCACCCAATTATAAAACACTTAGATGTATAATAAAGGTCAATGTACAAGTAGCGTACAGGAAGAAAACAGTGGCATACAATATTTTATACCTAGCTTCATTTATCATCATGATTATTTTGTATCTCTTGTCAAATAGCATGTCTGAGCACCATAGTAACTGGAACAAAAGATTTTATTAGTATCGTGAGACATAATAAATTAATTGATAATGACGGCTTACTCGCGTGAAGGTATTTTTTTTGTGGGATAATCCGGTAAACCAGCAGACGGATCACCTGATGGTAAGCAATCGGCGTCGCCCATGGACACCTGGAACACCAGAGGCATTACAAGTGCGTTGCCGGCCTTTTGGAATTAGGAATTTGAGGATTGTTGGGGATTCAGGGATTGGGGAAAGGGGGGGGGGGGTAGTTGGGCATCCGGTAACCTCACTCACACGACGAAACACAACACAACGGTGTTTCACGTCGGTCTTCTGTGAGGCCGTGGTATCACTCCGGTCGAGCCAGCCCATTCATGCCGAAGCATGGGTCTCCCGCACTTTAAAATGAGGTATTGAAAAGAGCTGTAGGTATTTTTGAGGGAAGGGGGATCATCCAAAGACTTTACTCGCGTTTGGTTACCACCCCATTTCTACACCTGTTTCGAGCTCCGGTTACCGAATTGGTCCACAACTCGGAATAACGACTTACTCATGTGAACTTTTTGAGTAAATCTACTAATTTCAAGTCATAATGAGACTCTAAAGTCAGAGACATGAGTATGTTGTGGAGAGCCGTGGCGCAGTGCCCACGAATTGACTGTAAGCTATGACAACTCACGTGACTCGCCACGACACACCATTTGAAACATAGGGTTGAAACCACACTTGCATGTCGTGGCGAGTCGTCGCGTCGAGACTTATTTTCTAGTAAGTAGTAGTAAAATTGCATGAAAGTGAAGTGGCTTTTAGCTTCACGCTGCGCCTTTCTGGCATTATTCTCGGTAACAGGATATACAGAGCCGTATCCATAAGGCAAACCAGGCAAGTGCCTAGGGCGCTAGGTTGCTTGTCCAAATGTCCATAGTGTCGGCGGTGCCAACAAAAAATTAGGGGTGTCTGTGAGGTGCTTGCCTAGGGCGCTGTCTAGGATTAATAAGCCTCTATATAAACGAAAAGGTGAAATCATACTTACTGCACCAATAAAAGCAAAGAATATACAACCATTTTTTAAACTAAAAGTGTAGTTCAATTTCTCAGGATCACTCGGGTCTAAGAATTTTTTTATCATATTGATTCTTTGGTAGAATAATATTCAATAGTTCCAAGCTTTATTGTTTGTGATCTTCGTTAAAATAATAAGAAAATAAATATTAAAATTGTTGTAGAAATATCACTTTAAAAATTCGTTTGAAGCTTACGTTTAACGTGTCAAATGAAATCGCCAGAGGCTATCAAAAGAGGTTTGTAACTTTTATAGCTGTGGTTTTATTGAAGAAGTTTTTAATACATTTCTTTGATGTATGAGATGTATGTGTGTGTATGTATGTATATGTATATATCTTTCACTTTCATTTATTTGTTTTTGATTTGATTTTGAAAGCCGTTATGTAAAACTCAATACTTTAATAGGTATTGAAAAGTTTATTTTAAACGGTTTCTTATAAGAACACAGCGTGATGGTCGTCAAAATTCCCACTAGAACAGAACGTCATAACTCTTTGCGCGGGAAACTTTAGTAACTGTCACATTTGACAAATGACATCGTCAACATGACAGCTAGTGCTGTCGATAATACAGATTAACTAGTGACGTTCTTTTAGTTGATTTTCGTCGTCAAACAGTCAGTACCTATACCAAAAGTATCCGGCGCGTCGCGTTCCGCGCGCCTCAAAGAGCTATCAGACCACCACAGATGGGGCCCAATAGGGCCGATGCCGATTCGGAGTCGCGGAGAACCATCTGGTAACCGGGGCTCCGACTCGACGTGCAGGAGAAGGAACGGGGTGGTTTTTAGTCAGTAAGAGTCTGACACTCCCTCCCACCTCACCCAGGCGGGAGCAGTCATTCGATGATTTTCCTCCCTTAAAAAAAAAAAATAAATAAAAAAATATATCAAAAGTATTCAAAAGATGCTATTGTCTAATCTGATAGGCCCTTACCTTTATTTCGAACTAGGACGTGGTATTGAACCAACAATTTCAATTAGATAAACAATAGTTCCGTAATTTGGTCGTTCTAAATATTGTGAGTAACTAATTTAATTAGTTAACATTTATCTCGTAAAATGCACAGGAAAAGAGGTATTGTAAAAAAACAGGTTTTGGCCGCTTTTTTCCAAAATGCGGTGCGAGCGGCGCACGTGTTCAATGGAAAATGGAAATCAGAAAGAGCACTTCAAAATCTACAAAATTCGCAATTATCAAAACTCCCGGAAAACTCTCCAGGTAACCCACATATTTCCTTCTTAATGATCGGACTATAAAGTGCTGCGAAAAATAGACACTTTTAGATCGACTTAAGCAACTGGACACCCAAAGGTATCTCATGTGCAGGGAGCGAATGATTTATCGGATCGGATGAAATCAAATATTCTTCTGTAACTCGTACCTTATCCC